GGCTAAGGTGGTTGGATATCCAGGGCCGGGTTTTAGTAAATTTAGGCCCCGAAACAGTAACCCCGCCTTCCCTCCCTTATACTGTGAGTAATCACTGATTCTTCAAATTTTATGAAAAAGTTTTTAATAACATTCAATTTGAAAAACTGAATTGATGTTTGATCTAGATCTAGTGTGGTCAATGTACAAACAGTGGACTTGTCGTCTGCACCAAAGGTTTGCATCTATTAGAAAAACAATTGATGATGTAACAGCTTGTCACTGACGTAACTTGGTGGGGGGAAAGAGGGGGAAATGACTGATGAGTGCTGGAGGTACTAATTAGGTCATCCGCTTGGCCACTAATGAAGATAGCCACATGTCCCGTCACGAACATAAGGGAGATAATAACAACGTCACCTATTACAAGCAGAAGTGGCACGGAGGGGGGGGGGGCGGGACGGCTGGAAAACTTTTGGTGGAATTGAAAAAGGTAAATTGGTGTTTATGGCTGTAGGAAAAAAAAACGCGTTGCGATCATTTTCAAAGGGTTGCAAGTTTGGAGGGGGGTAGAGGGGATGGCCTCAAACTACACTGGGCGTGTAGACGCATATCATTTGCTTGCAGAAAACGTCTTCTCGTGTCCCGCCCTGAGCAAGACACAGCATGATGTGAGAACCGTTGAATGAACGTGTTAGCTGGACAGACACAAAACGTCTTCTCGTGTCCCGCCCTGAGCAGGACACAGCATGATGTGAGAACCGTTGAATGAACATGTTAGCTGGACAGACACAAAACGTATTGCTATAATAACAGGAGGAAAGTTAGTGGTCCTGGCGAGGAGGAGGAGGGAGGATACTGAGGTCTCGAGAAAGTGAGAAATGAGACGCGTGGTTGGATTTGAGAAAATACTTGGGTTGAAAGGAGGTTATTGAATCTCGTGAGTCAATCGTAGGATTTTTTTTTATTAATTTGTTTCATTTAAAAAAACAAAACAGGTACCGGTAGGATAGAGGAAATATATACCTCTGCATATATATATAAAAAAGTATACTTCAGATAGAAATATGATACAAGCATAAAATAGAACGGCGGTGTTGAGGATATGAAACATTCACACTTGCGGACACTTTTAGAAAACAAAGAAATATTTCTACACCCTTAGAAGTTTTAGTTTAAATGTATATAGATACTCATGTTAGATACTAATGCCGGGTACTCATGTTTACTTAGATAAAAAAAAAAAGGCATTATTTAAGTAGACTACAAGTCGACATTGCAACAAGTGGCGTAGCTATGGATTTGGTGTGCCAGAAGGCTTGACCTTTTTAGGGGGCCCCTGCATTTTGACATTCGACATCATGACATGAGATAATGTACTTAATAAATATATATCTTATTTCCGATTGGTACAGTATGTCAGTAAATTTTGAAAAAAAAATCATTAAGACTGTTTTATTAAGTACTACCGTTGTTTATAGACGAGATATTGCTCAAGTGACAAATCTCAAATCATATCGCCTCACGACGTGCTTCATGTCCAGCAAAGGTCATCTTTAACATCATCTAGATCAATACTATCGAGCATTTTTGACTCCAGTGACATTAAAGCCATGTCAAGTCTTTCTTGCGTCATTGTGCTCCTGAGATTTTGTCCTGAGAGTTTTTGATTGAGTTCTAAGAAGGATCTCTCACATGATGCAATGGAAGTGGCCTGAGTTAGCAGTGTTAGGATAGAGGTTTCAAGGTTTGAGCACACATCATACCATAAGAAGTCAGCTTCCTTAATATGTCTATTTGTGATTATGGTAATAGTTTGTTGATGAAATGTGCTCGTGCATCAATGACATCATTAAATAAGCGATTTGTCTGTATTTCAATACAGTTTTTCATCAGCATGTCTTCATCCATAGACTCCAAGAGGTGTCTTGGTTCAGGAAGAAACCCAAAGGTGTCCACATGGTTTTCCAGCCTTTGGAATTCTTCGTTCATCTACATATGAAGTCTGTCCAACACTTCTGTTGAAACACGTTTGAATTGCGGTTCTGTTGACAGTCCTCATTAGAAACTTGGCTAACTTAGTATGGACCATTAGGGACTAATAGAATAGCCCACTGCTGTCAGTAATGCACCAGGCATAAGCTCTCTTTGGGTGACGCTGTGTCACATTCAGTACATACACGATCAGCTCTCTTTGGGTGACGCTGTGTCACATTCAGTACATACACGATCAGCTCTCTTTGGGTGACGCTGTGTCACATTCAGTACATACATGATCAGCTCTCTTTGGGTGACGCCGTGTCACATTCAGTACATACATGATCAGCTCTCTTTGGGTGACGCTGTGTCACATTCAGTACATACATGATCAGCTCTCTTTGGGTGACGCTGTGTCACATTCAGTACATACATGATCAGCTCTCTTTGGGTGACGCTGTGTCACATTCAGTACATACATGATCAGCTCTCTTTGGGTGACGCTGTGTCACATTCAGTACATACATGATCAGCGTTCTTTGGGTGACGCCGTGTCACATTCAGTACATACATGATCAGCTCTCTTTGGGTGACGCTGTGTCACATTCAGTACATACATGATCAGCTCTCTTTGGGTGACGCTGTGTCACATTCAGTACATACACGATCAGCTCTCTTTGGGTGACGCTGTGTCACATTCAGTACATACACGATCAGCTCTCTTTGGGTGACGCCGTGTCACATTCAGTACATACATGATCAGCTCTCTTTGGGTGACGCTGTGTCACATTCAGTACATACATGATCAGCTCTCTTTGGGTGACGCCGTGTCACATTCAGTACATACATGATCAGATCTCTTTGGGTGACGCTGTGTCACATTCAGTACATACATGATCAGCCCTCTTTGGGTGACGCTGTGTCACACTAGAAATACAATGTGTAATAGGCCTACTTAGGATCTAGCAGGGCCGGCATTAGGCATGGTCAAACTAGGCAGCCGTCTAGGGCCTCCAATTCGTGTGTGTGTGTGGGGGGGGGGGGGAGGGCGTTAATAAAGATATCAAAGAAACCTTTTTTTTTTATAAAACATTGCGAAACATGGTTCAAATCTATCACAAAGAACTCTATGTCTAATAGCCTCGCTTTAAGTATCTACCATGATTCAGGGTTTATTCGCTAATGTTTAGACTTACTTTTTAGACTACGTATGTTAGAAGAACATTACTTCTATTTGGTGAAATGTGGAAACGTTATTTCTAGTCTGGTGACCTTAATCTTTCATGAAGCACATTAGTGTTATCGGACGGTATGTTGCGTAGTTTTCGGTCTTAATTTGTTTGTTTTTTCTATTTCATGGGGGGGGGGGGGGGGGGGGGGGGGCGACCCAATTCGTTTCGCCTACTGCTCGCTTTACCTCCAGTTACCTAAGCCGACCTGCACACAGCGGCACTAAGTTTGAGAGGTAGGGGGTGGGAATGGGGAAGCTTAAAAGTGCATGACCAGTCATAGTTTTAAGACCGACAAGAAGTCAGTGTCTTGATATAGTTAGGTCATTGTCAATTGGACATAAAGACAATATAATACTGCGTTCAAGACTGATTTTGATCCTATACAAACTAAAAAAAAAAAAATATAGTATTTTTTTTCGTCCTATTCAGTCTAAAAACAAGATAGTGGTCACTCTGGTTCTGCAGGTATCAGTCTGAATTTTATTTTATTGCCGGTGGGGGGGAGGGGGGGGGGGTAAGGAAGTTTAAAAAGCAACAAATGTCTTGGTGTTAAACACGCTCGGATTTAAGACATTCCGATTGATCTTTAAAACATTGGTTCAAACACAGCAAGCATGTTAGTCAAGTATCCACGTATTTCTGTGTGTTTTCAAATACATTACAGTAACGATGCTATTTACAAAATTATCCGACAGTTCTTAATCCAGTAATAGTAATGTAAGATACACGTGTCACATCTTGATACACAGGTCATGTTGACGTTATTTGCTTATCGTGTTGCTATTTTGGTGTCAAGTTTCATTTTGTCACATTCAGAGGTCAAGATGACGTCAGCACACAAGAAGTGTAAGTCTATTTCTATCTACCAACAAACAAACAAACAACTTAGTTCAGTAAGTAAGCCCGAGTGGTCTGTGGTATACATTCCTCTGTTTCCACGATGCTGCCACCATTTGCAGAGGTTTGGGACATGAGTTTCTACTCCTTCTGAAGAAGATAAACATTAACTATACAGAGAGTGGAACATTTGAATATCAACATTCCTTTGAAACGTTTTGTTCCAAATGTATTTAACATCTGAATAATTAATTTTCTATTTAACTAATTACTAGTCAATCATAACATTCAATTTCACTGCCAGTTTTTCAAATGCGATTTGTCCTCTACTAGAAATATATATACTAGTTGATAAGAGCTTAAGCACAGTTGGTTTCATCATGTTACTGTCACCCAGTAACAGAAACTGCAAAGATTTGTTTTATCGCTAAACTTGCGAACATATACCTGAACTGATGATGCTTTTTATCTTGACCAATGGTTACACATATGTAATTGTAGGGAAGTTTTCTTTAATCTGAAAACATTTTGTTATAAAGAGTAATTGACAGCCACTTTATGGTGTACATTATGAAGCAGATGATGGTGTTAAGGAATGATTTCTACATTTTCAAGATGCGTTGAATCTGCCACAATTTCTTAATCCCCAATCCATTTGTCTATTTGAACTTGTATTCTTTCTCTTAATTATGACCATGACAAGAAAACCCAACATAAGTGGCCTTGGTAGATCAATTTAAGTAGCGCAATGGTTGCATAAAAAAAGGAGAAACATCCTATATTTAAGTACGGTGCCGGGTAACCACTCTGCAACTGATAAGCATACCACCGAACATGGTGTGGACAATGTGGCTTCATACCGACCATAATATTTCACTGTCAAGTCATAATAATTTGAAAACAATTTTTAAAAAAATAAAGATTAACCACAAAACAGACACATCGACACTGGAAAAACATAACAAAAAGATTCTGTCAAATTAATGTCAGAGAGACCATTAATAATTTGATAGTCTCTATATTTTTTTTAAATTTCTTTTAAATTTAATGACAAAAATATCAATGCTACAAAAATAAGTGTAATTCTGACATCAATTCAAACACACCACACTTCAGACATCAATTCATAGACACCACACTTCAGACATCAACATAGAACTTGATCCTTTCAGCTTCTCTTGCTTTAACATTCAAACTGTCTCACCAGGTTACACATACACACTCACTACTCACCAGGTTACACATACACACTAAAAAACATGTTTCTTGGCATCTGAAGACACCTTATGTTAATAAATTAAATGTGTATGGTATTGTTATGTACACATATTGTGTAGATAGTTTATGTACATTAGAAGTAGCTGCAGAGCATTAGCACTCAAGGCTAATTGTTTAGTGTACAAATAAAAAAAAAACACCAATAAAACCTTACACTTGATAAAAATTTTCTATATTACAGTAGTTACAAGTTAACAGTAAAAATGTATCTTTGCTGATAACTAACTTAACAATTGTAAATGATAACTAAAATTTTGTTTTGTAGAGTGGAACTCAAAAAGTATATAAAAAAAAAAAAAAAAAAAAAGTACAAAATATGTTAGCAAGAATTTTGTTTGTTATGGAAATGAAAGGCTATATCCTGCTTATGTTTTTAACTTGTTTAATTCTGTTATAACTTTCTGAGCATAATTCTTAGTACAAAATTACCACGGATAAAAAAAAGGTTATCAATGCACACTTAATTTCCTTGATGTGGGCACTTGTTTGGTAACAGTGAAAATATTGTCATACAATACAAAGAAAACCATCTTAAAGATACAAAATTGAATATGTGTCATCCATACATCAAACAAGTATAGCTTCCTTGAGTGTAAGCCAGTTGGAAATAATTGCAATACAAAATAACATGATACAACTTAAATCATAAATTTATCTTAAATGAGATGAAACACACATACAGTTTCATTTTAAAAAATGCCAATCTCATAAACTGCAGATGATAAGAACCAAACTTTGGGTGAGCACATACATTGTGTTAATAAATAAATGAAAAGGAATGATAAGACACACGGTTAGCTGCAAGACCCAGCAACTAGTTAGATTCAATGTTTTTATGTCCAGTCAAACTTAAGGAAAAATAACTTTTTTTCCCCTTTTTTGCTACTGAAGCTCATTATGAAATCCTGTTATCATCAAGAAATATACTAAGAGATTATTACAATGAAATTTAACTTAAACTCTTTCCTTCTTAGTAGTGCCATAATGGGTAAAACTTGAAATGTTATAGCAGGTTCAAAAACTGCCGCCTACTTTAGGAAAAAATAATTTCTATCTTACTGTAAAGATGAATTGGGGGATTACACAATTACTGTAAGAGACGTGGGTGACAAGGATCAACAAATCGTCCCAATACTGTACAGTTTGTGCAAGCAAAATGAATGACTTGGCTAGTGTTTGACCATCTTCTGTCTCACCCTTAAGGTCAACAGAAGGCCATGTCTGCTTGTAAATGTCTACATTTTGATCCGTCTCACTCTAAGGGTCAACAGAACCAAAATCAGACGCTCACAAGCAAATAAACTGATATACATCTTTTTTTTTTATTGAATCTTTCAGGTATTGTATAATTTCTTTTTCATATAATTGTTTTTGAATAGAATGAAATCAAGGGGATAAGCCTACAGATACAAATCTAATATTAGTTTTAAAAATTTGCATAAAGTCTCTCTCTATAATAATGGATTTACAAATAAATAAGAGATCAATGTACAAACATATGAACTATAACACAAGGTGGCTGCCAGCAAGACACACCACTACATGCTAGCCAAGCAATAAAATAAATACAAAGAAATTTAGAAAAAACATTCACACATACAAACATCTATCTAAAAAGGTAAACATACCTTGATAAGAAAAAAAAAAAAAAGCTCAAAATAACAGTGTCACTTCATTTTGATGTTATGCTCCCATGTATGCCAACATTGATGAATGCCAAATAAAATACAAATGCTGAAATGCATCAACATAAATATTAACCTTTCCATTCTAGCAATTAACATTTTCCACCAACAAAAGATCTACATTTACTTTATCAACTAACAATCACTTAGTAAACAAACAAAAAATGGTAGACCAGAATTAAAACAAAAAAAGTAATAACAAAAGACTTCTTACTATTTAAACACAGAATGTGAGCCTAGCCACTATTGAAACACAGAATGTGAGCCTAGCTCTGATGTAAAATAAAAGGCACTCCCCTAACATGTTAAAATAAGTCCAAACAGAGAAACATCAATCAACAGTTTATCATATATAGATTTGTAGTGCTGACTCCAAAATATTAGCTTTTATATTTCCTTGAAAGAAGATGGACACATCCTGCTTGTTATATGTTCAAATAGTTTTGTTTTTTTTCCAACCAAAAAAAAAGTGTGTGGTCACCCAGACCGCCAGGACATGTCCAGAAGATATTGCAGCAGTCCCATAAGTCACCATCACAGTCTGGTTTGTAGGTCATCAGTCACTGGACACCTACAGCCATACACAATAAGTAGAATAGACTGTACAAAAAAAAAAAAAAAAAACAATCTGAAAAGAAAAATAGTAAAAAAAAAAGTTAACATTTTTCTCTTTAAAAATCTTAAAATTTATTAGATACAAAGATAAAAGTACATTTCTTATTCCATTTGCTAGAACATTCTGATAAGTGCTTTTTTTTTTCCTTAGTGTCAGGAAAATCAGGAATTAGTAGAAAGTTTAAAGTACCTAAATATCAAATTTAATAGGCACAATTAGACTGACAAGACAACGCGTAAGACGTTATTTTCTTCCTGTCGTCTGTAAATTTTAAGATATGTTAAAACTTGAGTAACTTTCTAAACTAATGCAATTTAATTTAGAAATAAAAAGATCAATTTTGGTATAAAGGGCCTGTATAATGTGTAGAAAAAAACAGAAAAAGAGGGACAGTCGGGATGTGTTTCAAAGCCAAACCAAGCGTGGTCTATTTTTAGACACAGAAAACACGGCAAGGCCAAAAAACCTCGCAACACGCGAGATATACCCTACGATGACCTACTTTGCCGCGGCGGGAACTGGGCTAGGACGCGTTGTCGTGGAAGGTGTGTAATATTAGCGTAGTTTCCCCCCCGCCCCCCTTAAGTTGAAATGTAAAAAAAAACAACAAAAAAAAATGCATTGGCCACTTAATTTCTTATTCTGCCTTACGTTACTACAAACATACCCCCCCCCCCCAACTCCTCCTTCTCTCTCCTACATTTTCCCAGCTATCCCGGTTTACGTGTAACCTTGAAGCTCGAGTTCCCAAATAAGGTCATGGATGGGGAGTTAGAGCTAGGCTAGCTAAATACTGGATGCAATGCGCAATAGTTTTATTAACAGTATTATTTTTTGGCAAGCTAAAAAGTGGATGCAAATCTTTCATTAAAAATTTACGACTAAAACGTGTAAACAATAAGCAACCTTTCTGTGACCAACTTACGCTATTACTAGTATTTGAGCTTTAAAAAAAAAAAATCTAGGTCAAATACGCCTCGGACTACAATTTACAATTCCTCCTAGTCTGGCAATTGTAGGTTATGTTAATGGAGTATCCCGCACTAAATGCAGTACAAAGCTAAAGGATAAAATAATATTTTTAATTTTTTTAAAAAATGTTTTACCTTAACTAGGTCTATGCTGAGTATTTTTCTGATCAGAATTTTGCCGTCTCTTTTTGGCAGGCATAAAATCTGTTTAAAAATAAAATTAAAAAAAAAAAACGTCAATTAGTTTGCTTAGAAATTTAATCAGTATAATACACTGAAAAGCAACCTTTATTTTTATATATAAAAATAATAGACATACAGCAAAGATAATTAAAAACAAAACATATTGATTATAATATTTGTTATTGAAAAAAAAAACAAGGGGGAGGGTAAACAGAATAATTCATGAACGGACAATGTACAAACAAAACAAGGCCATGTCCCAATGTGTACAGACTCGAGACAGGCCAAAGCGGCAAAAGAACCGATAACTAGATCTAGACTAGTTACAATGGAGCCTAAGTGGCGCATGTATCGATCAGCAATAGTAGTGGAGCATGCAGGTACAAGGCTACATCGATAAGTTTGTTATGTTGGACTGTGCACATTGTACAAGATCGAACTAAACTGGCCTGGCGATGGGTACAAATGTATCCATTTAGTGAACGACTTTCTGTTATATAAACAGTCATTTCAATAATCTATTGACTGTAGAGAGCCCAACTGAAATGTTTTTAGGGCTAGTTAAGAACTGGTCTCAACAGTAAGCAAGCAGGTTTAACGTTGAAGTAACATAATGCATGTCCAATCATGCTAAGACCAAAAAAGAAATACGCTGGTAAGATCTAGATCAAGATGTCTGTAGTCACTAGATTTTTTTTAAACGAAGTGAAAAAAAATTGTAGACCTATTATATTTCCTTCCAAAAAAATATATATTAGAACTAGATCTAGACTGAACAAGAAATGTAAATAAATGAGAATGTGTGCTATGGGTAGGTCGAGAGTTCTAGACAATAAAGTCCTTCGGAAAATAATCCCTCCCCCCCATACAGCTTTCTTGTTTTGTGTTATACAAAGACTATGGTTATTTCACAATAAGATTGGGCCTACTGTCATATAGGTCTTACATTGTTGGTAATAAATTCTAGATATTTTTTTAAACACACAACAGTTCTATCCAGGGCAAGGTAAACAACAAATGACCCTATTCAGCTTTTTTAAATGTAAGGCACTAGGGCAATGCCAGCTTAGCCCATTAAACAAAGACATCATGACGTGGATTTTGGAATTTATAATATAATAGATTCTAGATCAAACCAAACATGATTGGATCTGCAACTCAATTAAATTATAATTATACTATTAGACATCTAGTGAATCTAGAAGTATGGCCCATAATATCTTCCCTGATTGACTAGTTTTAATTGCAGAATACTGGTAAATATTTAGACTACCTTTTTAGTCTTAGTCTTAAGTTAAGGTTGACTAGATCTAGACATTTAGATTATAATCTATGTAGATGTAGATTTCTAGATCAAGTAAATCAGATATTTCATAGAATAGATTTCAAAACGAGGTTTTAGATCTATAGGTAGAGACAAAGTCTGTCAGAGTCTAGAGGTAGACTCTATATATTTTTTGTTAGGTCAGTAAGATCCAATAGATATTCTAAATTCTAGAGTCTAGACCAATATTCTAAATACTGTATAGATCTAGAATTATAGTTATATTAATATAGATCTAGATTCTTAAGGCTAACGTCTGTTATTATAAATCCTATAATGAACTCGAGCCTACCTGTAATATAGCTCTGTTTGCTTTGTGGGGGTGGAGTGACGAACTCAGAACTGACCATTTCAACCAGTTCGGGATTTGAGCAGCTCCTTAATCCAAATAGCAACTCTGTGGCACAAGGAACCGATGGTTTGGAGATGCTGTCCGAGCCTGCGGACAAGGTCACCGTTTCTCCCTTAGCAGGAACACGTGTGTTGTTTGAGTTGCTATCCGTACTGACCACTTCGGCCTTGTTATCGGTCTCAAAATCGCTATAATTTAATTTTCTTTTCGCGGCCGAAGTTCGGCCGGTGATTCTGCTGGGCTTCCGTGAGTTATCCGATACATGAACATATTTTTTAGTGTAGAAGGCTGGAATATTTTCCGTGGACACAAGTTCCCAGTCGTACTTTCCACCAGCGGTGCTTTTTTCTGTAACAGGATCGAAGTTCCATTTCTCTATGAACAGTCGGGTGCTATCCTCGAAAAAACTTTCTTGCTTCACTAAATCTTGATGTCTTGTCTCTTGGTCGGCCACGCCGAACAAGTTTCGGACGAAGTTTTTCTTTTTGTCGTTGGGCAGCATGATCATTTCTGCAAGTGCAGTATACATAACGTAGATATTAAACAAACAAAATTATCAAACAACTGGATAGATTAATCAATAGATAAACTATTGCAACAGTTTGTTTTCAAAAATATGTCCCCGGTGGAAATATAAACTCCAAGTTGCACATACTAACAAGGTGAAATAAAGCCAAACAAAAAAACTCTAGATCACAACAAAGAACTATCACTTGGGCTGGCAACACAACATTTGAATAGTTACACACCGAGACGCTATACTTAATACCCACGAGAAGTGGTCGACCAGGACGAATAGGGGGCAGGGCTTAGAGGGTCACGTGACTTGGTTCTCGCGTGTTCATTGGCTTAATTGTTCGACGCGCGAGAATAAAAAAAAATGATGCCGGCCAGGGAAGGGAGGCTAGGCCCTCGTCGCGTAGCAAGTCGAAACATGCCTCACTTTGCTTCGCGCACTCCCATCTAAACTAGGACAATTTGACTTTACCTTTTAATTGGAAAAGTTTCAATAGCAAAATAAACGATCATACGTAATGCTCTGGCAATACAATCACACGTAACGTAATCGACAGAAAAAGTTTTACAACGATTTCCGTTCGACTATATATCATATGTGTCAACAAAATCAAATGTATAAAAATTCAACCATTTTTCAATAAACATAATGTTGGTCATTAAAATTTGCCTAAGACCGACACTAAGAGCTAACTCATGTTTGTTGTTTTAAATT